AATGCAGGGCAGGAGACTCCCACAAAACCCCAGAAAGTTTAGGGGTACCTGGACAGCAAAAGCAGCAACACAACAACAACAACAACAACAACAACAACAACAACAACAACAACAACAACAACAACAACAACAACAACAACAACAACAACACACAAAAAGGAATTGTGCTACATACTGTTGAGTTTTAGGTGCTGCACATGAGGGATGAGGCCTTGCATGTGCGGCAGGCTGGCCAGTTGAAGCCTGAAAAATTTGTGGAATTGAATGAACCGTTTTGAATCCGGTTGCCAACATGCAACCTTGAGAAAGCAATCCGAGCCTCCAGATAGACTCGAAAAGTTCCAAACTTCCGCAGAAAGCGTGCTGTGAAATTGTTGATCTTGTGTCAAAGCTCCCCAAGGCCAAACCCTGAGCCCAAAATCCATTAACCGACCCTAAACTCTAATAACCCAAACTCTAAGCCCTTAACCAGAGCAGCCAGGGTACACAGCCACAGCGAGTTTGGATATGACATTCCTTAGGCCAGGGTGCAGGGTTCAGAGTTCAGACCTCCCCTACTACTCCCTTCTATACTACCCCCCTAGGTTCCCCCTTACCTAGGGCTAGGGCTAATTGAGACTCCTTTTCTTAAATCCTGCAAGGCTCTAGCTCTAACACAGTTGGGCTGGGGTTCTGGGTTCGGTTTTTGGGATCGTGGAGAATCGAGAGGACAAGAAATTGGAAAACAAAATGGAAGCTGGGATGAGATAGTTTTGGGCTTAGCGGAAATAGGCCCCCAAAATAGTAGCTTCCATCTAATTTGCCATGCTGCCATCATATGCGCACAGGTTAGATAGATAATTGGCGATGTCTTGATGGAAGTTCCTTAACAGCCTCTCAAGAAGCGGCGGCTTCAAAGATTTTCCAGAACATGCTCAATTTCGCTGTGCAGAGTCTTCAAGAAAGGGTTTAAGTGGCTAACAGGCTTTGAGTTTGTTCTTTGGTTGCTCAGATAGAAATCCCCTCTGAGCCCCTTCTGAAGCGTTGCATTACAAGAGCCTGAATCAATGCCCATATCTATTGGAGGTCTATTTGACGTACCCATAAATTCACAAGGAATCTAGGACCATAATATTGCTGATCATTTCGGCCCGTACACTATAGCCAGGTGGCCTGTTTGAGAAAGAAATTTGGGTTTAGGGAAGAAGTTGGAAGTTATCTGCTCGTGCAGTACGTGACGAGTCAGCTACTGCTCTGAAGGCAAAGCGATCGTCTGTTCCTGACTGGCCCACATCCTGAAACTAAGGCTCCTTGTAGATACTTCAGACTTTAGGGCCCAAGATAGGTTTAGGGTGCAGTGTTTGGGATTCAGGGCTCAGGGTTTAGGGTTTAAAGTGTTTCTTATATAGACCTAGAGCGCCTGGACCCTTGCAGTTGTGAGGTCAAAACCCTTTCCTGTCGATCCTTGGGCCAGCCAATCGCCCAAGATGCTTCATGAGTACCTTGTCTCGACCTTTTGTAGCGACTTGAGTGTCCGGCTTCTTTAAGAACCCTGAAGCCATGAGGTATATGTATTTATTACGAGGCTTTTGGCAACGACAACCCCCAGCTGAGACCCTAAAGCTAGCAGATAGCAACAATCCCAATGTGCGGGAATGGGGTCACCAGAGCCCCCTTGTTCGCGTTCTCATGTAGACCCACATATGAGCTATAGTGTAAACTCCTAGTTCCCCCGTTTAATAACCCCTAGAATATTCCCCCATAATACTCCCCTATATCCCCCTTTAGCGACTTTAGATTATGAAAAGCCTTCTCTTCAGAGACAGAAAGCCCGTGACTCCAGCGCCCTAAGCCCTAATTGCCCTGACACACCATTGGCCCGATGGGTCCCAGTTGCAAATCCGAAGGGAACTTTGGAACCTCTAGGCCAAGGCCTCAGGCTTCAGACGTGGTTCAGGGTTTAGGATTTTGGGTTTAGGGCTCTGGGTTTGGGGTTTGGGTGCTGTTCGGGGCTTCGAGTTTAGGACTTAGGGCCTATGCTTCAAGCCTAAAACAGCCTCAGGGTGTTCGGCTCAGGGTTTAGGGTTTTGGGGTTTGAGGTTCGGGTGCTACCCCCTAATCCCTTAACCCTAAATCCTTAATTAACCCTAAGCCCTAAACCCTAAACCTCCCAAAGGGAGAGCCCAACCATGCCTGGATGCTCGCTAAGCAGGGATCTGTGGGCCTACAGCCGGGGAGGAAATCTTGCCCCACTTAAGATCCCGAATGGCTCTTAAAAGGATTAGGGTTTAGGGTCTAGATTCGTAGTATCCCCCTTAGTAAACCCCATACTTCTCCCCTATGTAATCATTCCTATTTATATAACACCCTTTAAAGTTAAGACGATAGCTCCAGAGTGGTGCAAGATGTGCTCTGGCCACAATAGTTGATTTGAAGGGGAGCAGTCTGAAATTCTTACTGTCTAGGCGCTAGGGTGTAAGGTTTAGAGGGACTTACAGAATTTTTGTAACTTCGAGTTTCTGGACGAGACACCCCAAACACCGCCCAATAAGTATTCTTAAAGCGTAACGCAGATGCATTACAAAATAGCCATCAAAAAGAGAGTCTATAGCCACGGCTTCTTTCGTGCTTAGACTTTAGCTTTTGCCAGGTGTCAAGGTGAACTCCCCTACACCGAAACCAACATGGAATCCTACATACATAACTGGGCAAAGGGATCTGTCCCCTAAACCCTAAACCTTTGTTGGGAAAATGTCTGAGCCTCTGCCACAATCCATAAAGTTGCACACATGGGAAAGCGTGAATAAGCGACTTCGGAGTTTAGGCCTATCTCGTCGTATTTTGACGTGTTGTGGTTCTTTAATATATTGGAACCCTAAACCCCTAAACCCTGTTCAATCTCGTGCACAACTACCTCTTAGGCCCCCGCAAGTGACCTCAATCCAGAACTCAGCCCCTTCCTTTCTACCTTCCCTTGATCCTCCAAACCCTCCGAGACCTAAAAAAAGCCCGGACTTCGTTGCAGCCTTGCTCTACACCCTTGATCCTGAATCCTCAATCCTGAACCCCAAACCCCTCACCCCAACTCTGGACCCGCAACCTGAAACCCTGAAGCATTAAAACGAGAAAGCCTGAAGTCTGCAAGTGGCAGGAGCAGACCCGGTTCTCCAAATTCCTCACCTAGCATCAGGAAGGGGCCTTCAGGAACAAGGCATCTAGTGTTGCTAGCCTTTGGTTAGCTAGGAATGAAGGAATGGATCCTTGTAGTAGACCCTATATAACCCATTAATAGTGGTTTCCATGTTCTTTTCCATTCTAACCAAAGGTAGTATTGAGGGTTTAGGTCCCCTCGAAAGGGTGTGATACGGCTACATGATCAGGTGTTAGGGGGGGCGTAGGAGCTGCCATCTTTCGGGACAGTCGCCACTCGTGGCATCTGACTCTGTTTACAAGATCTCAACAATGTCAGGGATGGGGCACTCGGAGCATGAACCCTGTGACTGCAGGCACGTTTGCATTTAAGTGACTGACCTGCAGTTCGTTCTATAAACTTTCGCAAAAACCGAACACACCCAGGCGAAACACGTCTTAAGAGCGACGAACCGTGTCTACACATGTGCATGTATGTACATATATTAAATATATATATATACAGTTCATAAAGAATACAGGTAAAGACGTGTAATTACCCTATCTGATCCGCATACCATACAAAGGTACAAGTGCCTTACATATTTGCTTCATCTCCAAGAACCTCCACCCACATCCGCAGCGGACGACCCTTATGAAGACCTGGTGTCATCCCTGTCCGAGAGAGATGCGTGGGATTATATTTGCGAAGGCCGGAACAACGGGAAGGAGTAGGAGGAGGTGTAGAAGCAGAAGTACAAGTGCTTCTTCTTGTCGTAATGGTACATGTCCCGGTACTGGAAGAAGTACATGTACTGTTGCCAGTAGTAATTGAGGTGTTGATGAAAATGGCGAAAGACCACGGCCACTTATACAACTGCAGGAACTAATGCTGCCGCAACTGGTCCTCCTCCTCCTTAAACTGCTAGCAGCTGCCAACACTAACACACCACAACTACTACTTCCTGGGTTGTGCTGCATTTACTGTTACTATTTTCTATCATTGCTAATACTCCTACCACTGCCACCGCCGCCGCCGCCGCCGCCGCCGCCGCCGCCGCCACCACCACCACCACCACCACCACCACCACCCCTAAGCCGTCTAACAAACTTATGCGAATCATGACGCCGACCATACACCTTTCGGCGGGAATTGAAAGGCCAAAGCGCATCGGGTTGATGCATCAGCGTGGACTTGTCAGATCGCTGACTGTACCTCTCAGGAATTAAGCATTATGAGGGTTATATAGGGAGGGTTAGGGTTATACAGGGACACATCATCATCAATACATTGGGATTATATTGCCAAAGGGACCACGAGTCTTGACTCACTAGAGATAGACGTCTCCCCATGAGTGCTGCATCTGTCTCAGGACCTTTCTCATGGATGACATTGGAGTCGGGGTCGCCGGGTCCGAATGCTAGCATGGGCTGTCGGGATTGGGTGTCTAGGGTAAGGTGTTGGTGGTTTCGATCTTGGGTTCATGTCCTAAGGTGAGAGGGGGGTGGTACACCTAAGCAGGCAAGGACACCTCCAACTCATAATCCTTAAGCCCCGAGGAACCTGGACAAAAAGACTCGAAGTCCCGAGTGCCTGCCCCAAAACAATTGTTTGCAAGGAAGCCAGAGCAATGTGAGGGCCTAGATAAAAGTTTTGTACTACAAGCACATAAGGATCGTAAGGGGCGTATATCGGCAAGATCTAAGGCTTCTACATGATGAGGGCATGTGGATCAGGGCTCTACATTGATGCATCTTCCTTCCTGTGCCGTGGAGCTATCATGTCCAGCATCGAAAGCTTCAGCGCCCCAACTCAACCCTTAGCCCTCAACTCTAGAACAAAAATCTAAACTCTCAGCCGCGCATATGTGCCGCACTGCCGGCCAAGGAACCATGACCAGTATCCCATGTAGCTGTAGCGGCTGTTGATTTCCACAATTTGAGGACCGTCCTCCACAGCTTGGATTAATATACCTGGATGCAGGTACACAAATGCCTGAGAGCTTGGCTAACCCTTTTGGCTCGTAGCTGTGGTGAATGCAGGAAGTCCATCCCTGATCGGGGTTTTGGGTTTAAAGTTTAGGGTTCAAGCTTTAGGGTTTGGGGCGTAGGTTTAGGGTTGCCGGTATGGGGTCTGGGGGCTCTTGCATCCAAGAACGAGATGGACACACAAATTGAGCACTCGGCGCGCTCATGCAACCCTGAAAGACGTCCTTGGTAAAGATGAACTCCAGGTCGATAGCCTCGTGCGATCAAGGAGGGGTGTAAGGTGTAGGAGTTTCAAAATCTCTGGCGCCTTCAACTTCCTTGCGCGTGTAACTACCTGTAGATCTCAAAACGAAGTAAAACAATGGCCCACAATCACAAAAATGGGCCAAAGGGCCGTGATTCTACATATTTGCGGGGGTTCAGGTACCCCGAAGGCTAGGCTTCTTCAAGCACTGCACCCCTAAGAGGTTTTTAGGGTTTAGGGTGAGCACCTGGTTCTTGTAGCCCATCTGCCGCAGCTTCGAGGTGACGGCGTGCGTCCAGTCCTTTGGCACCTGCATTCAAAAACGGTTAGGGTTTGGGCTCTAAGGGTTTTAAGGGTTTGGGTTTTGGGGGTTTAGGGTTCAGGGTCTAGGGTTTAGGGTTTAGGGTTTAGGGTTTTAGGGTTTTAGGGTTTTAGGGTTTAGGGTCTAGGGTTTAGGGTTTAGGGTCTGGGGTCTAGGGCTTAGGGCTTA